CTATATTTTATATGGAGTGTTAGGATCACATTGCGTTTTAAAGCTCTTTATATGTCTCAAGATGTAGAGGAAATACGATTTCGGCCGTTTCTTATCTTACAATAGTGTTGTCTAACGCTCACGATTCGAAAATGGTTAGCAAAATGACATTGAACGAGATAAAAACATACCTTCGCGAGCGCGGTGTTAGCGTCACTTAAAACCTGCGTTGGTAAATATTGCAATGCACAACAATAATAACTCCGAATAAAGTAAGCATTTTCATTCAACGTTTCGACTTTATTTAGTCATCATCAGGAATGATTAATTTACATGTGCATGCGTTGTATATACTATATGTAATCACTCGCCATCCGTCATCAAAAACCGGAGCTTAATCATGGCACAAAGGCATCCAAAGAACTATCGGTTTTCCCTTGAACAATATCAAATTACATATAGTATACACTATATTATACAACGCATGCACATGTAAATTAATCATTCCTGATGATGACTAAATATAAATAAAGTCGAAACGTTGAATGAAAATGCTTACTTTATTCGGAGTTATTATTGTTGTGCATTGCAATATTTACCAACGCAGGTTTTAAGTGACGCTAACACCGCGTTCGCGAAGGTATGTTTTTATCTCGTTCAATGTCATTTTGCTAACCATTTTCGAATCGTGAGCGTTAGACAACACTATTGTAAGATAAGAAACGGCCGAAATGGTATTTCCTCTACATTTTGAGACATATAAAGAGCTTTAAAACGCAATGTGAATTATGTGATCCTGACACTCCATATAAACTAGTATGTCCGACCATGTGTTTGTCCGAATTTTTGTCATTTGATCTCGTGTTTTTGATAAGTGTTTGACCGTCGGAAAGGTGGATTGTGCTCATAATTGACTTTCCGCTCATATAAATCAAATCTTCTTTATCAAGTACAATAACTCCAGCTATCAAATTCAACTATAAATGTGTTGCGAATATAACGTGGCAGCGTATTCAAGCTGAGAATATGGCATGGTATATACAATTGCCTAAAATAGACAAAAACCCTTCTCGACGTTGGTTAGTTACTAACCCTCCTGACGAATTAAGACTCTTAGGGCCTGTTTATATGATCCCGTCTAGCCGGGACGGGATGTTTTCACTTTTCATCCCGCTTAGCCGGGAAACTCGCCTAGGCGGGATGGCGTGTTTATATGGAGTTCATTTTGTAGTGCAGGTTCCTTCGACGGCATGTTTTATTGTAGAAAACGAATATACCAATATATACACATCCTCCTAATGTATGTTAATCGCGAATCATCCCGGCTAAGCGGGATGGAGTGTTTATATGGCAATTTCTCGTCCCGTCTAAGTGGGATCCCGGCAAGAAGTGCCGGGATCCCTCCTAGGCGAGATGGAAGTGGTCATATAAACACTAATTAGTGTTTGTTTGTATTACAAGCGGGATCTCGGAAACTGTCCCGTCCCGGCTAGGGGGGATCATATAAACAGGCCCTTAGGTTGAAACATCGAAAGTGTTAAATTGTCTATTTATTGCGATCGACTTGAAATTCGTCCTACGTTTCAAATACAATGCCAGCTTCTCATTGGCTATCAAGCCCGCGAAAATTTGTGAAAATTTCAATAGCCAATGAGAAGCTGGCATTGTATTTGAAACCTATGACGAATTTCAAGTCGACCGCATCCCGCATAGAGACACGATAAATTACGGCAAAACACCGTAAATATTTTCATATTTATGAGTATCTGAAGGAGTATTTGGGGAGAAAAAGTCACCTAGAGTTGAGTAGAGTTATCCGTGTTTATATTCGTATAGTTTTTACGGCTTTTGTAAATGAGGTTTTGATATTTTCGGACGTCTTAAGATGTGTTGGTTTGAAATAGTGAGCTAGACTTTCCTACCTTAGGTATATATATATAGTAATTGACAATTGTTTATGCATTACGTCATAGCAATGCGACTCGCGTGCGCTTGCGAGAGTTTTGAATTGAATATAAAAATACAAATTGTATTCCTGGGATGCCTATGTTTGAACTTGAAGTTTTTGAAATAACTAGATTCAGCTTAGTTTGAAATAACTACTTCAGTTTCGTCCCAATTTAAATTAATATAAACCAAATTGAGATGAATAACTTCAAAGAGATGTCATACATTTGTTAAAAATTTATCAAACATACAAAATACTTGCTTCAAAATACAAAACCGGTCTTATTTACCCGTTCAAAAATCACTCTAAACAGCCTCAAAATCGTAGATCTTTTTTTACCAACCAATTGAACCACAGCTTTTCTGTCCGAAAGCATCTTTTATATTCCCTTTCAATCGATTTTGCCAGTCAATTTTCCGAATATTTTTAAGATGATCCGAGTCAAAAATAATTTCAAAAGTTTTAAAAAGGCAGCAATTATATTGCTGCCGCCAACCAAAATTTAAATTCGGCCAATCGCACGCTTGTAACGTTAGTTACCAGTTTCAACTTTCAACTCGCCTTGAAACTGGTACAGTGACACCCTCGTACCCAGGCGCTTTAATAGTAAAATAATGTTGCATTCAGTTATTGTATAGAGGTCAGCTGAAAAAAACGCGAGCGCGCGAGGGTGCTTAGGGTGGTTTTGCCAAATTTAGAGCCTGGCAGAAAATGAATTCTATCTCGTCATCAGCTACGTCACTACGGAGTACCATGAGAAGCATGCGCATTGCTTGTCAACCAGTGCATGGTTTGCTTTGTCGACCAGCGAACGAGTTCGAAGAGCGCTAAAGAAAATACATAAATATTTATAACCTGACGACCAAAAAACCGTAAGTAGTCCTTCTCTTCAACTCTTTGCTCTTCTTTTTACTCTTTTTTCCTCAATTTTATAGCAGGTTTTGTTCAAAACAGGTAAGAACGAACAAAATATGGACGGGCCAACGCGAACAAACAAACAACAGAATCAACATCAGGAAGCCGTTACCGCAGAGGGGCCTAACAATAGTCCACAGGACGAACAAACTGCCCTGCATGGGCAATCTACAAGCTCACAGAGCATAAACAGCGATGGTTCTGATAACCAATTCGCTAATACTTTGTCCACAATGAATAAAAATATGGCCAACATGGCTGAAATATTGGGCCAAATATGGCAGCAGCTCGATTCTGGCGGGAAAACTGTACAGGCTAAAAAACGACAGCAGGAGGATCAGAACTCCTCTGAGTCGGAACAAGATGAACACACGGCAAAACGCCGTCGCACATCTCATGAAAATGAGGACTGCCTCAGTGTAACGGCCAGTGATGACGAGGTAAGGCAACTACTGAATGACAACGATTCCCCGCAACAACAAGACAAGAGATCTGACTTACCCGACGACGACTTGCTTCAAGAACTGGAACTACAGTTCAGCGAAGACAAAAGTCTAGGGTCAGCAATCGGGGAAAAACTAGCAACTATCGCTATTAATCGCTGGTCTGAAAAATTAAGCCCTGACAAGATCAAGGAACTAAACGAGAAATACAAACAACCGCTCAACTGTGAAGCTATGCGAGTTAGCCGCATTAACCCAGAAATTTGGTCTCAAATCAGCCAACACAAAAAGAAGACAGATCTTAGACTGTCAAGAGTACAACAAAATGTCCAAAAAGTGGTTTTTGCCACGCTTCAAATGGCTGAAACTCTCAGCGCCAAAAATCAATTTCCGGCATCAGCCGGCAACAAGAAAGACAATGACCGCGAGGCATTGCTTCGCATCGCGGTGAATCTTGTGGCAATGTTGGGGCATGTGAATGCTGATATAATGTCCATGCGACAGGAGTCGATTAAACCAGCTTTGAAACCAGAATTTCAAAAAATTTGTCATGCCACTATTCCACCAAACTCAAAATTCTTATTTGGCGATGACTTAGCGAAGCTGGTTCGCGACTCAAAAGAAATAAACAGCATTGCAAGCACCCTGACGCTGACAAGAACAGCTCGCAATACCAGCACAGGAAACACGAATAGGCGCAATGCTCACACCTACAACCGTGAGGATATTAACTCATACACAGGTGACAACCGTGGTAGAAACACATCTACGAAGCCTTTTTTATGGAGAGGCCAAAAACCATATCGCAGGCGATCCGGTACGAGAGGCAACGGGAACCAGAGCCAGCAAAGGAAGGGACTTTAGCTGAAAAAATACAAAAACTTAAAGAAAATGTAAGTTGTAGTGATTTCGATATTTCTAATTTGATAAAATATCTTGAACAACAATGTACAGAGTTCAAAGCAGGCAGAACCGCTCAGCAGTTTTCTGTTTGGAAAAAGCTGACCTCAGACAAAACAATACTTGACGCTATTAGAGGTATTACAATACCTCTTGATGAACTACCACACCAAGGTAGGGTTAATCCTAACCCAAACTTTAGTCACACTGAGACACTGGCTATTACTACTGAAATAGAAAGACTACTTGCCAGAGAAATAATTGAAATAGTGTCGCATGAATCAGGGGAGATAATCTCTCCTATTTTTGTCAGACAGAAAAAAGATGGCCGATTCAGACTTATTCTGAATTTGAAAGAGTTCAACAAGTCTGTGACTTATATTCATTTTAAAATGGACACACTACAAACAATTACTAATCTCATGACCAAAAATTGCTTCATGGCCTCAGTGGACCTAAAGGATGCATATTATACAATCCCAGTGCACAAAAGCCACAGGAAATACCTTTAATTTTTGTGGGACCAGAAACTTTACCAATTCACCAGCATGCCAAATGGTCTGGCTTGTTGTCCTAGGTTGTTTACAAAAATTTTGAAACCACCCCTCACAGCCCTCCACAAGAAAGGGCATATTTCAAGCAATTATATAGATGACCTATATCTACAAGGCCAGACATTTCACAAATGCAAAATTAATGTGCTTGACACCATAGAACAATTTGAATCCTTAGGGTTTATAAGTCACCCCAGTAAGTCAGCATTGAAACCTAGCCAAACACTGATCATCCTAGGTTTCCAATTAGACTCAGTCAAGATGACGATTTTTCTGACTGAAGAGAAGGCCACGGCACTTGCCGAGCATTGCAAAGCACTTGTGGATTTGAGTAGGCTCAAAATACGTGAAGTGGCACAAGTAGTGGGAAAAATTATTTCTAGCCTTCCAGGGGTCATGTATGGGGCATTATACCATAGGAATATTGAACTCGATAAAACTCAGGCATTAAAACAAAATGCTGGTAACTTTGATGCATACATGACTTTAAGTGATAGCGCAAAAAAGGAATTGAATTGGTGGGCTGAAAATGTCCAAGAAAGCTATAACTTAATCTCACATGGGCACCCAGATAAAGTAATCACTACTGATGCCTCACTCACAGGATGGGGTGCCGTATTTGGGAAGGAATCCACTGGGGGCTTATGGTCTACAGCTGAAAAGACTAACAACATCAATGCTTTAGAATTATTAGCTGTGTTTTTTGGACTAAAATGCTATGCTAAACATGATAACAACATTCATATAAGAATTATGACTGACAACACAACTGCAGTATCAACCATTAACCATATGGGTACATGTCATTCGAATATCTGTAATACCATAGGTAAGGAGATCTGGGAGTGGTGCATTGTTCGCTCTGTCTGGATTTCAGCTGCACACATTCCAGGAAAAATGAATGTACAAGCAGATATGGAATCCAGAAAAAGCAATTCAGGTGCTGAGTGGATGCTCAACCCCACTGACCTGCAGAATGCTTTAACAAAATTACAATTCACCCCAGTAATTGACCTTTTTGCATCCAGAATCAATAAACAGTTTGTACGATATGCATCATTCAGACCTGATCCAGAGGCAGAAATAATAGATGCTTTTGCAACACAATGGGGAACTCTAAAATTTTACATGTTTCCACCATTTAGTGTCATTCCAGCTGTTTTACGCAAAATTGTAGAGGACAAGGGCTTGGGTGTGTGTGTCCTTCCGGATTGGCCCACACGTGCTTGGTATCCCAAGGCCATGCACATGTGTAGAGAAGAGCCAGTACTACTCCAACCGAAAAAGGACAGGCTAATACTACCAAACTCACCAGAGGAAACACACCCTCTGTGCAAGAACTTGAGACTTCTGATCTGTCTATTATCAGGACGAAACTAGAGCGATACAACATTTCAACCACAGCAAAGGACGTTATTATGTCATCATGGCGTGAAGGTACCAAGAAGCAATACTGCACCTATATTTCTAAGTGGAAACAGTTTTGTGCTAAGAAAAACATTAATTGCCACAATGCTACAGTTGAGCAGGGCATAGATTTCTTAGCAGAGTTATTTGAACAAGATTTGAGCTACAGCGCAATAAACACGGCAAGGTCAGCATTATCTGTGATTTTAACACCTAGAGACTGTACTTCATTTGGCGAACACCGACTAGTACGCAGATTTCTAAAAGGCGTATTTGAGATCAGGCCAGCATTGCCGAAATACACGAAAATATGGGATGTCGGACAGGTCCTAACTCACTTAAGATCACTAACCCTAAATTCGGAACTTTCTCTGAAGCAGCTTACCCATAAATTGGTAATGCTACTAGCCCTCTTAACCGGGCAACGATGTCAAACTATTCACAAACTTAACATACAATTTATGCAGAAATTGCAAGGGAAATACATATTCGCCATTCTGGAGAAGCTAAAACACACTAGGCCGGGCACTCACCAAAAACCGATTGAACTTTCGAGCTATGCAGACAGTGACTTGTGCGTTGTTCAACATCTCGATGAATACATTCATCGGACGGCGTCAATACGAACAGACAACTCGCAATTGTTGATCAGTTTCATGAAACCGCACAAGTCGGTATCGAAAGATACGGTAGCGCGTTGGATCAAGCAAGTGCTCAAAGATGCAGGCGTGGACACGAGTACATATTCTTCGCACAGTAGCAGGGCGGCTGCGACTTCATATGGATTTGCGAAGGGAGCCAGACTTACCGAAATTCTTGAAGCAGCAGGATGGTCCAATGCTCAGACTTTCGCCTCTTTTTATCAAAAACCCATTGTGACAGATACGCTGGGAAATAATATTATGCAGGCCTTTGGGACGGACAACGAGCATGATTAAGTTTAAAAATTTTACATTTATTAAAATAATGTTTACTGTTGATAAGTTAATGCTCAACCATAACATTGAACGCTGTAATATTTTGTTATATTAAAAATTTGGTTCCACATTTTACGGAGAGTATCAATTACTCATGATTACCGAACTTCAAAATCTCATGGTACTCCGTAGTGACGTAGCTGATGACGAGATAGAATTTAAAAATTAAACGAAACTTACCTTAAGTTGAAGTTTGATTGTAATTCTACTCGTCATCAGCTGGAACGAAGGAGTAACATGCCCACCCTTGATAGCCCACCACACTCATTCGTTCCTTGCTCTTCGGCAATCACTCGCGTTAAATACTGGTTGACAAGCAATGCGCATATGCTTCTCATGTTACTCCTTCGTTCCAGCTAATGACGAGTAGAATTACAATCAAACTTCAACTTAAGGTAAGTTTCGTTTAATTTTTAAATTCAACATGGAAACAATCAAATGAATTATACAATATAATACAATACAATATAATTATATACTGTGATTACTTGAATTAAATCCAGGTTTTCACAGATACACCGGTTTTTAAAAATGTTATAGATTGATTAATATTGAACATTTCATGTTACAAATTATATCCGATAAGTATCACGTATAGAATCAATTTACTTTTAAATTCAAGTTGTTCCCATATCGCGTTGAATTCATCATCGGATTATTAAACCTGTAAACAAAGGAATATAAGTTTGTCTTTTATGTCATGGACAGAAACCTCTTAATATGTTGAAATGCGCTCGCTTTTCCCAATAGTAATATGTAAATACGGCAGGCGATTATTCGAGTGCTCTACGAATATAGTCACTCCGACGGAAAATATTTAAATAGAAGTACCTTCAAATGATTCTTCGCCAAAGGAGACGTTCATAATACTTGGCTAGCCCGTCGACAGTCGATCCAGTAAAAAAATTATACATAATGAAAATATAAACTGCAAAATTCAAGCGTTTGCCAGAAATCGGTCACGATTTGCCAGAAATCGGTCATTTTCTGCCAGGCGCTTCCTCGAAAAAAAACAACCACCCCAAGCACCCCTGCTCGCTTGCTTTTTTTCTGCTGACCTCTATATAAGACCTGAATGCAACGTTATATATTTTACTATTAAAGCGCCTGGGTACGAGACTCGTACAGTGAGTCCGCCCTATGGTCCGCCATGTTTTTGCTTCAAAAACATGGCGGACAAAGTTACTGAAATGGGAGGAGCAAGTCCTCCAGGAATTATAATACAGCTCAGTGAAAACCACTGGTGAAAACAACTCGCCGCCATTTTGAAAAATCCGCTCAGTTTATTATTGCGTAATAATCCGAGGTCCCTCGACCAATCAGACGCCAGAACTTTCAAAAATCACTTTTGCAATTATTATACGAATTCATTTTATATTACTAAGCTTGTAACGCCATGCCTTGTGGGCTTTTTGGGTTAAAACCACTGGTCAATTCACGCTTCGTTAAAACGCTTGATAGGAACTAGCAAGATTACTCTGAATAACCATCGTAAAAATAATTAGGCTTAGCAAGTATCTATTTTTTATTGGATAACTTTTATCATCAAACTTATTTCACTAATGAATCTAATGTCCAGCATATTGCTAACGCTCATTGGTTAAGATTAAAATGTCAAATTGAACCTATTTACACACTAACAATATCGGTTAAACCTCACTAGACGCCACAGTATAAGAATATAGAAATATTATAGATAGATTACGTTCAGTTGTGAGGTTTCACAACAGCAGTAGCATAACACCTTCTTTCTATCATTCCTGGCAGTTCTTCCCAGCCATCTCCACCGATGGTGAAGGTTTCCACTGAGTTGAGATATCTCTGCTCCTCATTGAATCCACCAAACACGACAATGACGTCATTCAGTATGACAGCTGAGGAGGCGCTCCTTTTGTGAATCATGGAGGGCAGTGGCTCAATTTGCCCCGTCTCAGTGTCATACATGATGACGTCATTTAATGATTCACCATTCTTGTCCTCGCCGCCCAGAACAATGATCTTATCACCCCAAGTGACTGTGGACATTTCATTAACAGGCTGGGGTAAAGATGGACATGGCTTGAGCTCATTCTTAACCAAATCATAAACAATAACGCTGCCAAGAGCATCTTCATTTTGGCCAGTTGTTGTTCCGCCCAAGATAAATAGTTTTCCATTAACAAGTTCTGCTCTGTGATATTGTCTTGGCTCAGGCATTCTCGTCAACAACTTGGTAGTATAAGGTGGGGTAAGAGCAATCTCATAAATGGCATTCAATGTTTCCTCTTCATTCCAGTCTACTCCTCCTATTACATATAATTTCCCTTCATAAACTATGACGTCGTGACAAAGTAAATGGACAGGCAGTTTAGAATCAAAATTTGTCCATCGCAAAGGATGTTGGTCCATTTTCAAAACTTCGATCGTGTCAAGTGCATGTTTACAGTAACCACCAACGAGAAGAACGTCATTGTTGTAAACACACGACGCTGATCTTTCGCGAGGGTGATTCAATCGTGGTAACAAGGTCGACCTCTTCTCAACAACATTATATTTTTCAACAGTGTTCAAGGTCACTCCACTTGTATAACGACCACCAAGAATAATAACGTCTTGGTTATTGGCTTGAATTGTGGGATCCATAGCTTGAGCACCATTTCTGTTGGTTGTTCTTTCTTTTGTTTGATGATCTAGTAATTCATAAAATCTGTCGAACTGCTGTTCCATCACCAAAGCATTACGCTAAATTGTAAGACAAAGTTTAAAGTATTGTGCTATTGTGCTACAGTATCGATAATCTCAGTGGTAAGCCTGTATTATTGGTGATGCAGATACTGAGACTTGTGTAGAGCTTGCTCTAGTATGTATTATGAAAAAATGGTGCATTTTACTAGCCTTATAAATGCATTTTATGTGTTCCTATTAGTGTTTTATATGAAAACGCTGCAAGTGAGCTTGTAGCTCAATGAAATATGAAAACAACCCACAAACTATTTTCATATTTTCCATTTTTTCCGACATATGTGAATGATTGACAGTTTGTTCAGGAACTAGGATAATTTCAGTGCTTATCTAAAGCAGAAAAATCACATTTCGATGCACTATTTCAATAATAGAGTCTCTGATGAATCGTCAGCCTATCGACGTGTTTCGGTTTTTAATTTTGAGCGCAGCTTTACGATTAAGATCACAATTACGATTATAAATCAAAATAATCGAAAGAGTGTGCTAAAATGTATTCGTCACCTGATATACATCACGATCAATGATCAATAATTTTGAAATATGATTATCAAAATTTTTTTCTTACCTGTACGTCTCTGTTTAGTCTTAGTTGCATATGTCCCATAATGTGTAAATGTTTCTAAATAAGAATATTTAATCAAGATTATACCCAATAAACCAGCTCAAACTAGTTAAGCATCTTCCCTTTAAACCTTTTAAAATGATGTACGAGGAACTATATTTTGACATTGAAGGCATAAGGTTTAAACTAAATTCAATGGGAGGGGAGGGAAATCTACTGCAAGTTACAACCACGCCTTTTTCCCAAATGCAGCTTCCCAAATCCAAATTTTATTTTCTTTATTTTGGCTAAAGCGTTAAAAATTACATTTCGATATATCAGTTTAATAATTACATCATTTTGCTTGGGATCCAACGCGCATTCCAAGTTTACTTTTGAACGAGGCCGTCCAAGCAAATGACATAATTATCGAGAGGGTGCATTTCGTCACGCGTCATATGATAATCAATGACCAGCAATTATGAAATATTATCACAAATACGTTCTTACCTCCATTTTTTCTGCTTTCTCGTTCATTCCTGATTGGGTTTGTTTCATCTCGTCAAGAGCTTTCTAAAATAACAACCTCACTCGCGTTCATACTCATTTAATATCAATTACCTCGGAAATGGGGGGATGGAAACAAATTAAGGTGGAGATGAGTCTGGATGTAGAATATAATGATTATGTCAAAAATAAGACGGCTTACTATGGTTAATTGAATTTTATGTAGTAAGAATATAGAAGAAACATCATTGTAAGCTGTTTTTTTTATAAGAAACATCATCTTATGCTAATTCCTAAGAGAGGGAATCGCTGTCTTTAGTACATATCGCTTTGACTATATCAGTTAAAATTTAACCTTCATCTCATCTTGTCTCACTTCCATTTGATCTTGTTTTCTTGCCATTTGAAGGTGCTGAATATTCAGCTCAGCTTGAGACGGTGTCAGTTCGTTGACATTTGTCTAAATTACAGTATGATGGTTAAAATATTTTATCTGAGGTAACACTATCAACTGGTCTGTGTCGAGAAAATTTGTATCTGCGTGATATGGGGCAAATTCTAGCCACGTGGTTGGTCCACTTTACGTTCGTTTCGACCAATATTTGCGGGGATCTCATTAACGTGGGCAATATTCGAGTTTTCGATTCGCTGTTTAGAGAAATATACTGGTTTGCTATTAGCTAGACTCGTTAGACTATAATGGACCTTACGCACTATAGATTTGTCTAGGCGACAAAAAGCAATTTTCAGAAAGAACATACTAAATTTAGTAAAATTGCTAAGTTTGGCCGCGAAATATTGTAAGAAATGGAAAATATAGTTAAGAAGTTTTAAATTTTGTATACTTTTGTATTATGACCGTAAGTATGTAAGTAAAGCCAGGCGCACATGACGCAATTTTTGTCGTACGATTTTTGTCGGTCGTTTGCGATGTTATTTCTAAGCGATTTACGTCAACCGGCTGTCAAAACAGTTTGACATTTGCCGATTGAATTCGGCTGAGTAAAATCGTTTAAAAAAATCGCGTCGTGTGCGCCTGGCTTTAGAGCTGCTTTCGACTGTTGCGTTTCTTGGACGTACGTAAAAGTTTTATTATTAAATTTAAAGTATTACGTTAAAGTATTATTAATTTTATGCCAGAAAAACTCACAACAGAAAAAATCATCAACAGAAGCCAACCCTATATATACATCTATTCAATCGTTGATTTTATAAGTATCATTTAAATGATTTTAAACTTTTACGTGAGTATACGTAGGTAGAAAAAACGCGAGAGTGGAAAACAAATCACGACGAACGTGATATTCAAGGTGGCTGGATACAGTTTAAACAAGGATATTAATTAAGCATCGAAGGGCCTGTTCATTTGAGAGGGTCAGGGGTTTGCCGGGAAAACTTGTATTCGCATTCATATGAGCCGGGCTGGCGGGAATGGTGTAATTAATTTATTTTGGGAATTATTATTTATTTAAAAGAATTTACAGTCTGTGAATGGCTAATAGCCATGTGTGAAATCGTGTGACGTCATAACGTGTGATACGACTTTTTTAGTGTGATAAATAGTCGTATCCCACGTTTGACGTCACACGAATGGCGAAGACATCAACACAATGGCTTCCTCAAGTGAAAGGTTCGGCAACTTTGAAGAATACATGTTCGTTCTTTTAAATAAATAATAAAACATTTATTGAATTCGGTTTTCACATGATATGAAGAATTATCAAGTCTCAGTTTGTCATTATCAACCTCAACCTTCGGCTTCGGTTGATAATGACAAACTTCGGCTTGATAATTCTTCATATTATGTTCAACCTCATTCAATAATTGCTAAATAATCGACTGAAAACAACATTTGACGTTTAGTGCTTTGGGATTTAATTTGTGCTGTTTGAAGGACTAGCCGTAGATTAGGATTACCCGTAGATCAGGATTACCCGTATATTAGGATTAGCCGTATAATGAAGCATTAACTCTCCATAAACTGTGACTAAATGCAGCAGGAAAATGGGTGATTTTACTTCTCATTCACGATCGGCTTATTCAACTCATTTCAGTCATAATATAAGCTAAGAGGGTATAGGTCTGGCTAGCTCAGAAAACTTATTTTCCTTCTTTGAAATGGCGAAGGGTTGCTGCATGCATTTATTTCTAGTAAAAATATATATTGCCCTGATTCGGTCAATTCTGGAATACAGTTGCGAAGTTTGGAACAACCCACTGACCAAATACCAATCAGACAAATTGAAAAGGGTACAAAAAGAGCGCAACGTTTTTACATTTCCTGGACATTCTTACGACATTCTCATTATATTTCCTGGACATTCTTACGACAAAGCTTTGGCAATGACGGGTTGTGAAAGATTAGATATTAGACGTGATGCAATTTGCATGAATATTTATTCGTCACAAAATGGCCTCCAAACAGGGTTTAATCGTTTTTATATCGCAAACGAGTTCGGTGACCCTCATTTTTTTTAATCAGACGTTTACACTTGTAACGAACGAAGTTTACTTCACGGACACAACGTGGTCTAGATCCAAATCTGTTATTCAATATTTAACATTTGGTATTTATACTCTCGTGATATAGGGCGTGTACGTTCCTTTAATATAATGCTATATTTATTATCGACTGCTATATCCATATATTAATAATCTCGGAAGCACTTCAGTGCAATGGTGCATCCGCGGCAACTTACTATTCCTTATTGTATCTGTGAGCGCAGATACATTGCTATCGGGTTTGAAAGTTTGTTAAGTTAGTTTTATTGTTCGCAGCCAATGAGGGACGACGTACCTAAACAGCAGCCAATCGACCAACGTTTTAGATCCGTATCTCGTTTTTATGCAACAAAAGTGAACAACAACACCTAACCATATGGTTAACGTTTATAATTATCATATTAATTAAGGCCCCGTCTACACTAGGTGCGTTTTCGTTTGAAATATATATTGTTGGCATTAATTATATGTAAAAGGTCGTCATATGAATGTGTATATATATATATATATATATATATATATATATATATATATATATATATATATATATATACACAAATATATATAAATATATATCGTCAAATAATTGTAAACACAGATCATAAAATGTTATCAAACAGAATCAGACAGGCCCATTTAAAATCCATTTATTTTATCAACCATTTTAGTAAATAGCGATAAAGCCGGGCGCACACGATGCGATTTATTCCGCTTATAAAAGTCGGTCGATTATGCGCACCAGTAACTTTTTGCAAACACTGTCAATTTACGAAGTTACAACTAATTTAATATATTGAGCATATTTTCTCTTGGACTGTAGGAAAAGGGCGTCAAAACGATAATTACAAAAACGATTTTGAAAACGCTCGAAGACGACGCTTGTGCAGACATGTCTAAAAGCCTTGTTTTGAAGCATTTAAATTTCTTCGAAAGCCATCGCTGATGAATTACTATATATTTCGGGCAAATAATTGCCCGAAATAAATCCCTTATCTTTTCGGACAATGAAATGTTTCGGGCTATCAGAAGCGCTGATAAACTCATAAAAGCACATTGTTTGCCTTTAGAATGAACGCTAAACAGTTCATCCCCTTGATGGACAGTGGCAGAAAGGAATAAAGTCATATTTACTTACCCTTAACTTCTGGAAGTGTTAAAAGCTTGCAAATCTTCAGAATAAAAAGCTTGCAATTGGCAATGGTCGCATTAACTCAAATTTTAATATTCAAATTTGTGTTCACTCCCCCCGGTGCCACCCCGGAATTACGACATCTTAAATATGGGCAGACACAAGATCGAAATGTTGACCATACATACATCGGCGTGAAAGACTGGGTCGAGTGCACTAAAACATTGCTTGTCAAAACTAAGAGTGCTGCCTGCAGCAGCAATAATATTTGCGACGTAAAGATTAAACTAGGCGAGTCTTTGCAAACAGAATTATAAACTATAATCTAATCTAGGCGAGGCTATATCCTAAAAGAATTATACATTTGAATATTGTTGTTAAAAGTTCCTTGCGCGCCGTCCGGAAACCAGATAATATGCGCAAAGTTATTCGGTGCCAAGGCGCTACAATTTCGAGCTGTGCACCAGAACTCTTGGGAAAGAAAACTGTGACGTAGATAAATACGGTCACATACACTTTTCAAATACTAGTATATTTCGCGCCAAAATACACTTGCGACGACGAAAAATAATAAAAAAAACCCACAACAAAACCGAGGGAAAATGGTCATCGAACTCGTTTGCGATATAAACACGAATAAACCACGTTCGGCGGCTAGTTTAAAATGTCTCTGTTGCTATGGTGACAGGTGCCAGGCACAAGTTCTAAATAAATTTTCACTTTAGATATGTTTCCTGTAAAGTATACAATAGCCGGTTTTCCACTAGCGATATTTTTCGTGCGAAGCGACATTTTACTTTTGTTCCAGAGCTTTCAACTGCAACCATCTGGAACAAATTGTTCAGATACAAAACAATAAAGTCGCTTCGCGCGAAAAATATCGCTAGTTGAAAACCAGCTAAACTTTTAGCCTTCTTGCGAAACATTTAGATGCTTAATATCCCTTTTTAAAATATGCATTGAACAATTTCGAAAAACTGTATCGAGCCACCACATGTGTGAATTATCACTGAATGTCGTCAATGTTTTGACCAGGATTGTAGGTCTACCTAGGCTAAAAATGTTTATACGATGATATTACCCTCAATTGTTTTCAGTGTCTGAACAGATTTAAAATTACATGCTTCATCTCATCTCGTCTTACCTCGATTTGTTCTTGTTTTCTTTCCATTTCCTGAATCTGAGTTTTCATTTCATCCTGGGATGGTGTTAATTGGTCAACATTTTTCTAAATTACAATACGTTAGTTAAAATATTTTCTCTGTGGTGACACGATACAATCTATAAAGTTCAAAACTATGAAACAGGGAACGTATTTTATGAATAAAATACCGAAATCAGAGCTTGTTGCTCTCCTTGTTTTTGGCGTTTGTTTTTC